TACATGCTCCCTTGGCCCCTCCGTGCAGGGCCAACATGGGTTAGTATGTCCCCTGATGAGTTTTCAGCATCTCTTAGCCCCTCTCCAATTCCAGTGACCCATACTCCTCAGCTTCCTTCCATCCTGAACGGGTTGCGGGCGGCGGGGCAGGGCGTCTATTGGCCTCCTACTGTCCTTTGAGGCTTCCCTTCACCGTGCCCAACTGCAAAGTAATTCCTTCACATTCTGTTTGAGGGAAGGGTGTCACCTCTGTCTGGAAGGAACACTTCCAGACCAGTGGCTACTCACTGTTCTATCGACCCAGAGGATCTCCAAAGGACTCCGCCAATACCATCCTCGCTCCTTCACAGGGTCCCACCTCTGGATGCTGCCATAATAGAATGACCTGTGGTCTTACTTCTAAGGGAGCCCTGATCAGGTTGCGATTTCTGGGCGAGTTTTGCATCTGAACCTATGTCCTTCCCCACCAGAATGCTCAGGACCATGTACGGATCCTTTCTTTATCATTTTAGACCTGCTACCAAGTCCGGACAGGACATGGAGGCTGGTCTGCTCTTTTGTTGTAATGTCAATCCTCAGTGAAGACACTGGAGATTTGGCTAAGAAAACAATACAGCAAACACTAGCCTTCACTTTTCCCAAAAGAAGATTATAGTTAAGGGTTAAGGGCACAGGCTTTCAGTCCATTTGGGTTTCAAATTCTGGCTCTGGCATTCGTGAGCATTTCTGAGCCCTAGTTTGACCATCTGTAAAATGGTGATATAGACTTGAATTGTACAGAATGTTTGTACATTGCTTGGTGCATAGTAAGTTTCCATAAATGTTGGCCTCTGTTGTTTCTAGTACACAGTGAATCTTCTGTGCATAAAACCCCTCTTGATCATAAAATAAAAATTATCGCTTAAGAACTGGCCCTGTGAGGAGCACCTGGGTGGTATAGTCAGTTGAGTGTCCAACTCTTGGTTTCTGCTCAGGTCATGATCTTATAGTCCGTGGGTTAATCCCCACATCGGGCTCTGTGCTGATGACATGGAGCTTGCTTGGGATTCTGTCTCTCCTTCTCTCTGTCCCTCCCCCGCTTGTGCTTGCGCTCTCGCTCTCTCTCTCTCTCTCAAAAACAAGTAAATAAACTTAAAAAAAAATCAGCCCTGTGTTTTCCCTCTTAATGTGGAAAAGATTAAGAGGGAAATAAGTGTGTTTGTTTCTGTTTATAAAAATGATACATGGTCATGGAGGATGGTGTGAGAAAGCAAACAAAAATCTTTCCTAATCTTACCAAACGGAGTAAGTTCTGTTACATTGTCACTTTATGGTAGCTTTATGCATATGACTTTATAAACATGAACTTCTCTACATGTGCACACACATGCGCACACACACATGCATTGCAGACATTTGTTTTCTAAACTGAGATGATATATCATTTTGTATCCCCCATTTTTGATGATACTGTGAACATAAAAGTACCTGCTAAATATTTTCTTGTTAAATTTTTTTTTTAATTGAATGAGTTTGGGGGGGGTGGTGCCCGGGTGGCTCAGTCGGTTGAGCGTCCAACTTCGGCTCAGGTTATGATCTTATGGTTCATGAGTTCAAGCCCTGCATGGGGCTTGTGCTAACAGCTCGGGGCCTGGAGCCTGCTTTGGATTCTGTGTCTACACCTCTCTGTCTTCTCCTCCCCTGCTTGTGCTCTTTTTCTCTCCCCAAAATAGATAAATAAGCATTGTTTAAAAAGTAAAGTCAAGTACGTTTTCCAAGATCTTTCCATTGCATTTTATACACAGGCACATAGTCGTAATTATATATAGGCATACAAATGTGATTGTGCTATATGTGCTTTTTGATAGTTTTGTGCTTCTTAGTCTATTATTGGCTACAGTGGTATTTAAACCAAGAATGTTTTGGCATTACATCATGTGTTCTGTTGACCTGTCAGATAAAGCTCCAGTGTTATCATGCTTTTTGCCAGGAACACAGCCTCTCAGTAATAGAGAAGGCATATGTCGATGATGAATTTGACCCTTCCTTCTCTGGCTGTGATGTTCTGTCTCTGAGGTGAGGAGATAGGTCAGTCACCGGAGTTTCTCAACCTGGCCATCCACACCAGAGTGGATGTGGAGTGAGGAGTAATTCCTTCTAGAGATTTAGAAAGCATTCAACAAAATCCTTAGTTTACGATGGCTTCTTGATTTTTGCATGCTTCTGTACGTTTTGTGATTATTTTGTTGGGAAACTGAAAGATGATAAACCAGACCCGGCTGTCTTGTGGCAGTAACATCCAGAACTTTCTCCCCCTCTCTCTTTGTGAATACTTCCCATTCCTGTCTGATCATTTTGCATTTTTCCACATTGCATGGCAAAAAGAAATCTATGTTCAGGTCATTCAAGTCGTGTCATGAATATTCTGTTCTTTGAGGTTTCAAGGTCACAGACAGTTTATCAAGGATATTTCAAATTCTCCATCGTCTCTCCTTCCTTGGCTCTTTTACCAGAAATTCCAACATAGCACAAAATAGCACCCCAAATACTTTCCCTCCACCTGAGACCATAAACACCAGGGCCTCGAAGCAAGAAAGCGGTTCAGCCTTCACTAGCTATGTGGCTTCAGCTACCACTGTCTCATTACCAACGATAGATTTTGGCCACGTGTCCGCCAGTGTGACTTCGGGGTTTAAAAAGGTAGAATTTCTGAGGGATTCCACTCTGTTCAGAAATCTGCTCTTCCCTTTGGCTTCTTTCTTTCTTTTCTTCTGAAGATGACCTCTTAGAGAACCAAATGGTCATTATGCTTTAGTACATGTATGTTCTCCTTTGCTTCTTCTCTTTAATTTCTTCACAACCTTTGGAAAATCTTCAAGAATGTGCCAAGTTTTGGCCTAAAGAATGTAACTTCGTCTCCTAGCCTTGTAAGAAAAAATTCATGGATCTGGTTGACAAAAGGTATCCACAATCAAATATGTTTGGAAAAAACATCACATTGTCGTCCCCCGCACCCTTAGAGTTTTGGGATGAACGATCACTCACTACATTCTGCAGTAGGAGAGCCTGCTTAATTTTGCTTAACGTAGATTTTCCAAACATACCTAATCATAGAATTCATTTATTTCTGGGAGCATCCATCAACATCCTTCATAATTAACGCCCATGCCATACATAGGGGAGGCACAGCTCTGGAAGGCACATAGTCCCCAATTCTGCTACTCACCAGCAATGTGATCCAGTCGCAGAATAAATACATAACCTCTTCACCCCTCATATTGATCGGATGTCAACTGAGGGAGCGTAAAAGCCCCCATTTTGTGTGGAGGAAGATTTATCGCACTGTTGGAGGTCTGTGGTAATTACGACTAACAGTATTCCAACTCTGGGATCGTGTTGTCTGGGTTCCAATTTTGTCCTTCCACTTCCTGACCTTGGGAGCATTTCTGAACTTCTGTAACTCACTTCTTCATCTATACAATGGAAACAAAGATTGTACCATTCCCACAGCGTTGTCGGAAGACTTTGGTCTGATTCATGCAAGACGATTATAATTTTGCCTGGTCCATGGTAGCCGCCTACTGAACGTGAACCCTGTTATTGTATTCACTGGTGCTCTATGACGGTATCACATGAAATGGATGATTTTATTTATTTTAATTAAAATCCAAGTTAGTTAACATATAGTGTAATAATGGTTTCAGGAATAGAATTTAGTGATTCATCACTTATATACAGCACCCAGTGTTCATCTTAACAAGTGTCCTCCTTAATGCCCATAGCCCATTTAGCCCATCCCCCAACCCAACACCTCTCCAGCAACCCTCAGTTTCTTCTCTGTATTTAAGAGTCTCTTAGGGTTTGTCTCCCTCTCTGCATTTACCTTATTTTTCCTTTCCTTCCCCTATGTTCATCTGTTTTGTATCTTAAATTCCACATATGAGTGAGATCATAACGATATTTATCTTTCTCTGACTTATTTTGCTTAGCATAATACATTCTAGTCCCATCCATGTTGTCACAGATGGCAATAATTCATTCTTTTTGGTCCCTGAGTAATATTCCATTGTACGCATACACCACATCTTTATTCATTCATCAGTCGATGGACATTAGGGCTCTTTCCATAATTTGGCTGTTGTTGATAGTGCTGCTATACACATTGGAGTGCATGTGCTCCTTTGAATCAGCATTTCTATGTCCTTTGTATAAATACCTAATAGCGCAATTGCTGGGTCATAGTATAACTCTATTGTTAATTTTCTGAGGAACCTCCATGCTGTTTTCCAGAGTGACTGCACCAGTTTGCATTCTGAAAGGGACTGTGTTAGATTTTTTTATTGGGATGTAATTGACCTATAACATTATATTAGTTTCAAATATACAAAATAATGCTTTGATATTTGTATATATTGTAAAATGAACACCACAGTGAGTCTAGTTAAAATCCATCACCATGCATAGCTATACATTTTTTTTTTCTAGTGATGAGAACTTTCAAGATCTGCCCTCTTAGGGGGCACCTGAGTGGCTCAGTCGCTTAAGCGTCCGACTGGCTCAGGTCATGATCTTACAGTTCGTGAGTTTGAACCCCATATCAGGTTCTGTGCCGACAGCTTGGAGCCTGAAGCCTGCTTCATATTCTGTGTGTGTGTGTGTGTGTGTGTGTGTGTGTGTGTGTGTGTGTGTGTCTCTCTGCTCCCCCCCAACCCATGCTCACTCTCTCTCAAGAATAAACATTAAAATAAAAAAAATAATAATCTACTGTCTTAGCAACTTTCAAATAAGCAATACAGGATTATTATCCATAGTCACCAGGCTGTATGTTACGTACAGATTATTTTAGTTTCCAAAAGCAACCCCTCTCACCTCGAAAAACAGCTTAAGTCCAGCATGTTATTAAAAGAGCATCACTGCCCTCCTGTAAATGCTTGATGAAGCCCTGTTAGTTTTGATCTTCTCTCCATTGAGCACCTGTGATCTGTGTTTTCCATCATTTAACTTTTTCTGTTTGTGAACAGGGGCGGAGAGGCCTTGGCTCTGTTTTTGTCTGGGCCTCGGGGAACGGTGGAAGGAGCAAAGACCACTGTTCTTGCGACGGCTACACCAACAGCATCTACACCATCTCCATCAGCAGCACCGCCGAGAGTGGGAAGAAGCCCTGGTACCTGGAAGAGTGTTCGTCCACGTTGGCCACCACCTACAGCAGCGGAGAGTCCTACGATAAGAAAATAGTATGTGCATTTGCATGTCATGATTGGCTCATTTATCTTCCAGTATGAAACACAAAGGAAGACCTGTAAGCTTATACGCAAAAATAATATGTGGAAATAGACACGTAATACACGGAAGTTAGTTGCTGACTCACTACAAGTATTTGTAAGTGTTGTCACTCTTACCAATTCACTGAACGTGCTTCTCTGGGCCATTATATACCAGCATTTGATGTGGTCTTAGACATGAGTAAGCCTTAGTTTTATTGAAGACAAATGAATGGTCCACATTGACCTTGCGAGTTAGTGGCAGAGAAGAGACTAGTTCTGACTCTCAGCCTACTTCCTTTATCCCTCTTTGAAACTTACCTTCAGCGCTTCGGTTTCAAAGTGGGTCTGACTAATTCACTGTGAGCTAAACCTATCAAAAGGTGCTTTTCTATTGCTACTGAGGCACCAACTCGCCTGAATGAAAAGCACGGGAGTCCCACGTGATCGCCTGCTTACCCACATGCCCTGCTCCCCGTGAAGACAGTGACCTGATTGAGAGTTCAGGTTGCAGGACCAGGCTGCATGGGTTTTGTTCGCTGTTGAACTATTTACCAGAGCTGGGTAACGCTAGACACATTATTTCATTTATCTGCCTCAAGAGCCTCACCTGTAAAACGTGGGCAATTAATATTGCATGGTTTGTGACGTTATTACAAAGACGGTATAGAAGGAAATAAAAAGGGCTCTGCATACCCCTTGACCCACTGATGCTCAAGGAAAGTCTGACTTTTGGGGTGCCCAGCACCGTGCCTCTGGTTCTACATTTCAAACACCTTTGCATTTTGCTCTTTTCTTGATCATAGGTTTATAAACTGCCTCAGGATTTGTCTTTCTAAAGTGAATCTAAGCCGCTTTACTTGACATTTTTTAGCATTTAGCTAAGACTCTGCACTCGGGTCTTGTAGATTCATGCAGATTTGGGTCGCCTCTGACTTTTACACACGGAGGAAATACAGGTGATAGGACAGTACTCCCTTCTGGTCATTCTTCATCCACATCCATTTGGGTCCTCCTGATTATTCTGGTTATTCTATAATTTTCATGCGTGATTTCTCCCTACCTTCTTTACTTACATTTTTCAGATTGATTTAAATAAAAATTGCCTACCCCTATACGTATCCCATCTGCCCCTAGCTTTCCCTAATTCTTCCACAGTAACTGGATTAAGAAATATGTGCATGAATCCACCTTGAAGTGCCTCCATCATTCATCAGTAAACATTACCCTACAATACAAAGTAAAATCTAAAAGAAGGAAATACAGAGATGACAAGTTTCGCAGCTTCCTGGCTTTCTTAATGGGAAAGTGATGTTCCGTGATGTTTTACCTTCATTATGAAAGTGTTATAATCTAGGAGTGCCTCTTTTGCTCTTGTATTTGCTTATCTCTCAGAACTCACGGTCAAGGTCCACTAAAACTAAATGGCATCCGTCAGTTCTGCACCATAAAAATCCTGATGGAACTCTCTGGAATAAGCGTTCTCTTTCCATAGCTCTCGAGTGTGAAGGCAAAGTTGCCATTGCTTCAAAGCAAATATGCCTGTCTACTCCTGTTTTTTCTTGTGGGATGATTGCTGTGGAGAGGGTACCATGAAGTTCCATAAACGTCTTCGAGAAGAAAGGGTTTTCTGGGTCCTGGATGGGAGAAGGCAATGTGGACAGACCTCGAAATCTCTATGTGAGATTGACTCCGTAGACTTGAGCTTCCTGGGCCCTCATCATGCTGTGATGCTGTGGTAGATGCTATGACCATCCCCCTCTCCCACCCCCAATGACAGGCCATCATTTAGAATTCTCCCAGGGATGGACAGAATGATCCATTCACTGGATGGAGTCGTTCAGTCATAGACTGCACTTTCTCTGTAACTGCTGCTTCTGACACCAAACCTTCACTGACTCATTTTATATATGTCACCTATTTGTTTCTAACTTTCATTTAATCTCTTCCTCCTATTTTCATAGCAGCAATTTATTAGTAATTCTTCTCCACCCCATTGTTAGAATATCTTTATTTTGCCTGAATCTGCAAATTACCATAAACTGGAGAAGACATTTGGGAGCTGCTTCGAGTTAATCTCTAGCTTTAGACACCTCACTCAGTGGCTCAGTGACCCTCACAGAGCCTTGGTTTCCCCATGTGTAGAACGGAGGCAAAACCCTCAACAGCCTCGTTGATTTTCGGTGAAGAGGAGATGCTGCATGAAAGGTACTCACGCCGCACCGGTGCCCCTACTGAGCCACTCACTCCGTAAGTGGCTAGTACCGTTGTTGCCTAAGTCACTGTAGCTTTCTGCGTCCCGGGGGGCTAGGCTGCCATTTTTCCAGCCGTCGTTAATAGGGGTGCTTGTGATGCCTCCATTTTCTCCAATCTACACAACATTGCAATCTGTACCACCCACTCCCTAAAGGTGCTTTGATCGTGAACACGTTAACAGTTTGAACATGAGCGCAGCTGGCAACATTGGCCGTTTATGGTCCAGCTGACCCCTTCTCCTTCTAGATGTCAGAATGACAAATAATCCTGGGATGCACCTGGGACCTTTTCTTTACCAGGCTTTGCACCAAATGTCTGTGGTCCCTCGGATATGCCCGCTTTCCGTCAGTGGCATTGTGTTCGAGTGTCGCAGGCATGGCAGTGTCTGACCCCCTTTGCTCTGGCGCTCTCCTCCCTGGGCCACTCATCTCCTTGTGCCATTTGCGGCTTCTTCAGGAGAGCACCGTTGTCATTTCTTGTTTGTAGAGCACCTCTGTGTGTTGAACCAGGCAGACGCTGAGGATTCAGGAGACAGGAAGGATCTCTCTGCTTCTGGACAAGCACTTCTGTTAAATACATCTTACGTGTCCCCAACAGAATGTTTTGGCAAGCGGGAGAACCTTGCCCTGGGTTTCCAAACAGCCAGATCTTGGTCCCTTGGTTTCCTGTCACTACTGTTAGGACACTTGCGGACCTTGGTGTCCCATTCATGCTTTAATCGCTTCCGATCAGTAATGGCCTTGTATCTTATTACAGCAAGTGAAGCATCCAAAATATCAAGATGACTACGATAAGAAGGTGCCCTGTAAGCTAAATAGAAATCAGTTGAAATGACTGGGTATTAATCGATAATCTGGCTTTATCGACTGATATGTTTTTATTAACACTATTGCGTATATCTTATTTTGTGTCGTATATGTAATAACATTCACAGTTACAGTAACATGCCACAAGTATGGCATTTTTTCTTCTTCTCATTGGTGCCATTTATATATTTAGAATATATAGGTATCCGTTATTTTCCTTCTCATTGATGCCATTCTATATATTTAGAATATATAGGTATCATTATTTTTCGCTATCAGTGGATTTATCTTGATTTTCATGCCGTAAGACCTTCTCATAATCTCCTAAGATAATCAGTCCTCCTCCAAAAACCTAAAGCCCTTTGCCAATCTGAGTTGCTAGTCCCCTGTGTCAGCACTGAGCTCGTCCAGAATATGCCTTTTGTGTGACGCTCAAGCCAGGGCTCTCGCCCTTGTCACAAGTGTCCTCTGTTAAGGCACCATACAGCCACATAGCACTTCATTTGTGTCACTTCTCAAATTTCATCCCAGGGAGGATTTTTCTTGTTCCCCTCCCCCACTCGCTTCTATCTTGTTCACTTTTCTTCCTCATGTCCTTAGAGCTACTTAATATATTACACATTTTCTTACTGACTGTCTGTTTTGCAGTAGATTGGAAACTACGTGAGGTCAAAGATTGTGTCTTGTTCCTTCCCAGAGCCCAAGCTTAGTCAACGTGCGTGCATAAATCACTCTCAGACCCTGGGAAGGATGGCAGTGTCACAGATTGTTTATATAGCCACAGGAAGACAGGGAGATGCTCGGTTTCATTAAGAAAAACTCCCTCTAGTAGGTTGATGGAAGGCAAAAGGCATTTGGCAATAATGTATTTTGCATATGAAAATGCTCTGTGATAAAGGTGTACATACAAGCTTTCTTAGTGCCAAAGAGCATCAGAGATCCCGTCTAAAACTCTTCACTGCCTCCTGAAATTTCTCCCCAAGTTCTGATTTGGAAATAAAGCTTCTCTCTCTCTCCCCAGTCCCTCCCATCATTAAATTATCTCCTTCTTTTGGGACGAGTTCAACCTTTGCCCTTTTTCCTCTGGTCATTTGTCTTAGAGATTGGAATATGGTGGTGATCCTATTCCTCCTGGGAGGGGTCTGCTGAGCCAAGGGTTAGAGTATATACGCTCTGCTCAGCCCATCCTCATGTCATGTTATTTATTTGTGTTCAAAACTAACTTGCTGGGGTGCCTGGGTGGCTCAGTCGGTTGAGCGTCTGACTTCGGCTCAGGTCATGATCTCGTGGTTCGTGGATTCAGGCCCTCCGTCAGGCTCTGTGCTGACAGGTAGCTCAGAGCCTGGAGCCTGCTTCAGATTCCGTGTCTCCCTCTCTCTGACCCTCCCCTCCTCACGCTGTATCTCTCCTTCTATCTCTCAACTTGCCACCCAGGGTATCTCAGGGTTGGATTGAGTGACCCATTCCACGTGGAGGAATTTTCTTATTACTCCTAATGTTTCTAAGCAGCTACACATTTTCCCTTCTCACAGAAACATCCTGCTCCCCTCCCCTGCCCCCCAAATCATTATTCAGGTGCAGTCACCATTCACAATGGGGTTGATTTCTATCATCTCTCTGTTTCTTCTTTTGGCTTGAGAAATGCCATTCTTTCTCAGGCAGATGACTAGCAAATCCAGATGTGTTTGGTTTGTTTGGAAGTCTGATACATAGTCTCTTGAGAATGTTAAATAGAGGAGAGGAAATTTGCTCCTAAAAAGTCCTGATTTCGATGGCAGCCGGAAGGAGAATGTCTATACCCACTTGCCGACCTGGGCTGGCTCTCAAGGCCAGTTCTGCTGCCATGGCTGGTGGTGGTCTGGAAGGGCCACCTTAGCTCTCACGGATGACAATACCGCGTAGCTCGGCTTT